TAATAATATATATATTAATAATAATAATAATACACACACACACACACACACACACACATCCGAAATATTGCATTTCCAAAAACGGAATTGGACGAGGATCCATTCAGAGTTACGTGTACATCGTACACCTACGTGCACAATACCTACGTATTACGATCCCTTTGAGTTCAAATTCGGAAGTAGCGCACGTAGGTGCGCTGACTCAGACTCTCGCATATATTCGGATATCCTCGATTTCCAATTACATCCTGCTTGACTTGGTCAGTAATATTTAAACATACATCATTTCCCCCTTCCTCTTTCCTAATTAAGATACATATTTTTATTGATTAATTTATTAATTCAGAATTATTTGAATACATATTATGTGTAATATTGATTATCATTGTCAAGTAACATTCTCTTTTCAAGACAATGCGAAATATTGTAGTTATAGAAATTCCGACCGTAATAATTCAAATCATCTTGCTGTTCACTGAACATACGTTTCTATCAATCATATGTTTCTATTCGTTTAACAATGAACAAAAGTACATCGTAGATAAAAAAGACATTGAAAACTTTCTATATAATATAAGCTTTTATAGATTTTTTTAATAATCACCATTTTTGTAGACTTCTTCGTTGACCAATGTCTCCTCGTCGTCAGTGTCGGGTCCAAGGGATACTGGAGTATACACAATGGAGTCTCTAGCTCTCATATTTTCCTACTTCAATTGGATGAATCTCTTGTTTTATAGTACATTCGGTAACGAGCTGAAATGTAAAGTACAGTTATGAGTACACATAACTTGAAAGACCGGATTCTATTGAACCTACTACGAGCTATAAAGCGCAATTTCCTTCCCTTTTCAATTCTTTTTTCAAATGCTATATAAAGAATTTTAATCTTTTTAGAGAGAAATAAAAGCTTTAATCATGGAAAGGATTGCTCGTAAATACTTGATATGCTTATGTATCGCAAAGAGAGAATGTGCGTCCAAGTTTAAAGCAATAGCGGTACACATCGCACTAAAATTTTAGACTCGCGTGACTATAGGATGACTCGAAACGCCAAATATAGCAAACGTAGGGATTTCCACGACATTTTCTTCAAAATGAAGTCTTGTGTATTTAAATATCGATTAAATGATAACAATTATAATTACATTTGTCTAAATTAATAAACCGGATTATTTTGTCCAACTGATCACTACTCACATTTTGAGAATCATCGGGTAATCTTTATGAAATTAAATGTAAATTAAACAGAGTTGATAAAAGATAATGTTTTTTTTTAAGAATAAATCATTGTGTTTTTTTTAACATATTTTTAATGCTTCATACATACTTTAAATTGTATTATAAAAAAATCATTTAAAATATATTAAAAATCGATTAAGCATGTTTTAAACAGTTTAAAATATATTTAAAACATGATTTTTATCCACTCTAAAATTAAACGTGACACCTGCATGGAATGTGTGATTCAGCTACAAATTTATTTCAATTGCTTAAAAAATAAACAAGGAATGATACAGAAATAAGTCAACTTGTCAATACCGTTATGCGGTATAACATCGTATCAATTAATTTTATTAATTGATTCGGTTCTCAGCAGTAAAAATCTATAATAATAATTCTGCGAATTAATATTCTGCAAATAATAATTCTACAGAATGAATTTGTACGATTTCATCAAGTAGTAAATATTCCTTAAATAAATAGAAAAATATATATCAAATAAAAATATATATATCTTTGGCGCTAGCGATCCATATGTTTCAAATTTTACAAGATTGATTCATATTCATGCGCGAAAAATAAATATGTGCGTCCCAGCACAGAAGATTGAAGCAATATTGCTGCAATGTTGCATATTATAGATTGCAATGTAACATTGCAGAGGTATTACAGAAATGTAAATTAACAATATGTCTGCAAAATGTCAATAATGTGCTTGTAATATTCCACAAACATTGCAAAACTGTAATTTTTTAATTGTTACAATAATAATAATATAAAAATATAAAAGTTTTTACAATATTTATGTAGTACAGTCTTTTTAGTTTAACAGCCGTTTTTATGATATAATAATTAATATAATTCATTTTATATTTAATTAAAAAATTTTTTTTTTTATCTATTATTTGACGGCCATTTCATTAGCTAAGTTTTATATTTATTTTAAATATGAAATCAAAAGATTGTGTAAGATCGAATTTGGATACAATCAATGTATCATTATCTGATAAGATGATAAGCAATTAAATTGAAACGTTGAAAACGAAATATTAATTATGTGATGTATTTATGCCTGATGTAAATAAAAAGAAACCAAGAATAAACCAATGCTCGAATTTTATTGATAAATTTCATATCAATATTCGTCATTTTTTAATTGATTTCAATTAACTCGTAGTGATTTCAAATCACAATAAAAAGAATCACTATTAACTTAATCCATGATTAACTTACCAAGCGACTGTATTATTAATGTGGATAATATTTGTAATTTGTTCGGGGCACACACATACATGCTCTATCTTTACGAATAAATTTATTCTTCAGAATTAATACTATATTTATTGGAATATTTTATTGTCATAAAAAATTGCTTTTGAAAGCACATATCACTAGAAATACGATTTGTAGAAAAATTAAAGTTAGTGAGATATATGTATACAAATAGTTTTCATTTTAGAATCTTCGTAAAAAATTTATCCAAATACATTATTGTAATATTGCCGGAACGTTTTGTTGCAATATAACAAAAAGCAGACATTTTAACACTTAACTTTGTTGAAACAATGATTTTGCAACAATGATTCAGCAACATTTCGCAATCATCATGCGCAATATTGCAATGTTTCAGTGAAATCATTCTGCAATGTTTCTGCAATCTTTCTGTGCTGTATGTGGGGTACATTTCCAAGTTTCATAAGACTTGAATGCAATGCTCATCTTAGAGTTCGATGAAGATATAAAAGATGAACAATAGTTATGGATAAAGAATGTAAGCAAAGAATATAAGATATACACACATTTGGTTACACCAACTCTTTAGTTTATTTGTTTTTCCTGATCTCTTCTAAATAATCGCACCGATTTTACACGTGGCACGCTCGACATGTGTGCACGTTACATCGTCCGCCCTTGTACCAAAAATGTCTACCTTAGAAGGAAGCGTCTGGTCTCGGTTTCAGTTTTCAACTGGAATATCCCGATCTGCTACTCTTTTGCGCATCAAAAATCATCGAGAAATTTATTTAAAACAATATCGATTCGCATGAAACGATCTCAATCTAATCGAATACTTATCCCCATCAGTTTTACGCTTGTCAATTAATTCTAATCTGGACTTGCTCTAGTCTATCCTAATTTATTCTTCTTGTCGTGGAAAAAGATGAGTTGATTATAATTAGCAGGATCGATCATCCCTCGGTCGGATTTGAAAGCGATTACAGTGATACTGTTTTCATTTTTCTTCTTGAAGTCATTCACCTCTTAAAGTCTAGCGTTAATTTTAATCGATTGATAACCCGAAATGAAGAATTGCGCATGATATCGTTTGATGTAAATGTTTTTTTTAAATTTATTTTCGTAGCCCCATGGCAACCGGTTCCTCGCGAGTCGTGACTGCGTACATACGTGGTTCCTGCTTGGATTCAGGATACGTGGCAGTTATTTCGGGAGGCACGAACGCCGCCGTCTCGACGTACCGGTAGACGCCGCGCCGTCATTCTTCTGAGATTTTATCACCGAGGAAAATGCGTCGCGTCGCATTGATGCGTACCATCGGTCGATAGATTCTCATACGTCTCGCGTGTCGCATATATATCCGTATGCAACTTGTTTGAAATAGATACGAAAAAGCAATATATCTTTTCTTGCAATATATGACAATAATTTTTCAGGACTTTCTTGTTTCCAGAGATATTACATTTATTTTGCTGTAGATAGAAATAAAAAGAAATAAAAAAAAGAAAATAAAAAAAAATAGAAAAAGAAGATAAAGATATATGATTGCGATTATCTTTGTAGAAATTTAATACAGGAAGGTTGTGATCAATTATTTAAATTTTGAGTGAAAACTAATGTTTAGCGTTTTCGTTACAATACTCGAAATAAATAATTTCTCGAGGATTAAATTTCATTTCTGTAAGGTTTATGCATTATGTTCGAGTAGAAGTAGTTTTTTCAACTACAAATACACAAATACATGTTTGTCTCTTCTATATTCTATATGTAGAATAGCGACATCCATTCTATATATGTAGAGTGGATATGCAGACTGTAGATGTTTCTTTCATCCCGGATGGTGGCTACGACTACGCTTTTGTGTTTGCAGGGGGTCCCAGATATATTTGGAACAAAGAGGATGAAAAAGATGGCGGTCTTTTAGCAGAGTTTTCACTTATAACGCTTTCGAGAATCTACTGGAAATCGCGTTATTCAAATTAGTTTACATTTATCGCGCTTAAAAATAAATCGATGTTCACGCATGGCAGAGCAATAGAATATTCATCGAACAATCGAATAATTGGATGATTATTAATGATCAGAGTCGCGTATATATGTAATTCATTCTGTATACAATAATGTAAGTCATTTATTCTTTAGATTCACAAACGATTTAATTGAAATAATTTTGACAATATTATTTGAAATGATAAAAGATGGATCTATTTAGTATAATCTTAGTAGAATCTTCCGTAAATGTATTTCTGGGACTTTTGACGAAAACGTGAATTTAGAAAGTGATTTATAATCTTGAAAATACTTCTCGCCCAGCTAAGTCCAGAGTCTCCCGGTTTTTTCCAACAATTATCTGGCAAAAGAACAAAAAGAATTTTTCTATTTTTAGGACGAGGTCGCCTCTTTTCTTCAGCAGCCTTTTTCCTCTATATTTTCATCTTGTAAGTTATAGGATTTGTGTATAGGATTTCCGCGCATCTTTCCGCGAACGACAAGCTTGGTGATAAATCTTTTTTCAATTTCTACACCTCCTTTTACTGAAAATTTCTCGTATTATATCTTATTCAATTCATTCATTTTTTAAAATATACATTTACGCAAGATTACAGAAAAATAAAAAAGAGATAAATAATCTCTTTTTACGAACAATAATATAGGATTAAAGAAACTACAATAAATTTACTGATAAACGTAACGTAGTATCGATTGTAGCTAATACGTATTATGCAAATGAACTCATGTTGAAGTTAAGTCGCACAAAGTGAATTAATACGGATATAAAGTGAATTAAGTAATTAAGTCGCGGAAGAAAATAATTTGCACGATCGCGCGCCAACAATAAGAATGAAGAGTAACGTGGGATAGTACCGGCGGAATATGTTAGCATCCGTTTTATTCTAGATCCTGTCGAAAAAGTTTTTCACATAAAAGTTTTCCATTGAACCAAATCAATACGGTTAGTGTGCGATATATAGATATACAAAAATTACATTATAGATATAATATAATAAAAGCTTAGAGAGCTATCCAGAGACACGCTAAAACGCGAGACAGTATCTCGATTATACGTTTGCAGAAACGTATTTATTCTTGTTTTTTTTTTTTAAGAAATTGATGACAAAATTGTAAATCGGACAGAGAAAGGTTAATGACCTCGCGAAAAGATCTTACAATACATCTTGACTTATTGTTAGGTACCCTAACTCGGAATATCCCATGTCAAGAGGGGTTGTACCTTAATGGCTATGCGTTTCGAGTTTGACTCGTCCTAACCAGAGATAGTTGCACTCGTAGAGTTCTATGTAATGCTTTCGATTTGTCATAGTCGCGCATTCACGTGCCATTCTAAACATATCGATTTCAACTAGTGTGTCTGATAAATATGAAAAACTCGTAATTGAGCTATCAATTTTATTCATTCAAAATTTTCACATAAAAAACATTTATTTATATATTTGTTCAAAACTGAAAGTTTTCAATAAATATGAATTTAAAATTTTATTTATTACGAATATTTTATAATTATTTTACGAGTATTTGAATATATTTATTAATAATTATTAAAACAAAATGTAAAAAAGAATTAGCTCCACATCAATAATGAACATTTTTCCCCTCAATCTGATAATTAATAATCTCTATAATAAATATTTAGATAAGCTTTTGTGGTGCATGGAAAGTCATTTATTTTATTATTTTTTTATATCAAATTCTGTTGTACTAGCTTTACTGTTCTACTTAAAATTTGAATTTGATTATAGGTTTATAAAGATGACCTTGTTTATACCCTACTCTTAGCAAGGTTGTCAGAGACTATCTAACTGCTTGATATAAGCTTGCTATAGAGCATGCATTTTCTTATGGTCTTGACTTACTTATAAGCAAGCTAACTGTTACAGTTCATAAAATATTCTTTGCGAGCTTAGTTTAGGAAACCTGATTATACCGAGAAAAAAATAAAGATATTATTGATTTTATTGGTTTTTATTAAGAAATATATTAAATAATGTAATTATATGACTACGGAGTGTGGGAATGCAAAACCAAAAATATTCGTAATCATATTTACAAATATATATTCATTAAAATCAAAAAGTATTTATTAATGTATTTGTATGATTCATTCATTAATTCGAATATTATTGTTCATCGATCACTAATTCCAATTACCGTATTTGGCAGGGCTACGAATGATTTTGATATATATTTAATTTTAAGATATTAAAATGTTTTGTTTTTGTCTCCAACACTTAAAGAGAGAGACTGTTTTAATTTTAAACTTCTTCCATAAATAACACATGATGTTTGAATTTAAAATATATAATGTTTTCAATCCGAATACGTAGAGTGTTTTGTTTATTGAAAAAGTTTAAAACTAAAACATTTTTAAGTATTTAAAAAATAGATTTTAATATCTTAAAATTACACACTTCTTTTTTAAGTGTCGTTATCAGTCATATCATGGTCCTTAAAATTCTCCCACAACATATATATACACACATTATCGTATTATTTTTAATTGAAAGTTTAATTTCCACGTCCCAAATTGAAAAGGTGTATCTTGGTTTTTTATTAGTCCATTTTATAGTAGTTTCTTTTAAATCTATTTTGTTTACAAAACTGTGCTAATGCAAGATATATGTGTATATCCTAACAGTACAGATCTCCAGAGGACGTCCGAATGTCTTCTGAACATCCTAAAGATATTCTCAGTATCCCGAATAAAAAAGTTTAGTTTAATAAATTACTATTAGAGTAATAATTATAAACAAGTATACGTGCAACCACGTGAAAAGTTAACGATCAAAATATCAAAATCGAAAAAATATTTTTCGATCGATATTTAAACTTTTTTTTTGCATTTACTCTTTCTTACGCCACACGACTAATATATGTCGCGTGTTGAATATTTTTATCAATGGACTTATATATGGCTGTATATTATTAAAAAAAATGTTGTTAACTTAAGATAGATAAGAAACATTTTAAATCACGTTTAAAATACTTTTTTCGAGATATAAGAAATTGCACAGTGTTTTGTATCTAATTACTTAGAATTGTTGTTCGTTAATAGAATTGTGATATCAATAGGATATTAGCTAAAATTTGACGAACGATACTTTTTTTTAATTTTCTACAAAGAATCTCCACAATGAAGGATATTCTATGATAATTCTTACATAATAAAAATATATATTTCAATTAATAGCAAAACGAATAGCAAGGCGAGGAAAGCTCGCGAATGTCAAATTATTACTGTAGGTACCGCAGCTACATCTTACGCCTTGACCCTCCCGGATGACTTTTGAACGTTGACAAAAATAGCGGCGTTATACATCTATATGTAGATGCAACACGAGTGTCGGCATTAAGCCTGCGAGAAAAAGAGGGGCGGCATCCCTCGACATAAGGAATCATCCCGCGCCTCTAACGAGAAAGCTTCTATATATTTCCGGTCTAGGCATTCATCAGGCTACATATTTACTATAACAATATTTTACTCTGCAAACTTAACTCGAGGAGTAAGAGGACTATTAAATCTATAAGGTAAATGTATCTCAGTGACTGGACATGTAACTATATTCAGACATTTACACAAAACTTGATATATAATATATATATTTTTTTTAATATTACAATTAATTTCAAATGTTTCTTACATATATTATAATTTAATTGTAATCTCTTTAATCATAATTAAATTATAATATTATTATATTATAAAAAAAGTATTAATAATAATAAATTTTGTGTAAGTATTTAGACATAGATACATGTTGGAACTCATTGGAACGTTTAGTTCTTAGCTCTTATAAAAATAGAATTGCAACAATAAATTCTTTCTTCTTATATATGGAAAAATTATTAGTGTCATACTAATAATCATCGAAAGATTCGCTGGCATCAATCTTGTCACTAATCATAAGCTATTACGTAGATGTTGTTTTTAGAATTATATCTGATTCTCCGACAAAGCAAATTTCCTTGAGAATAGTAATCTGTAAAGTTGAGTCATCCGAGTCACGCCCTAGAGCAAGTAATCGTGTGATTTAGAGAGTTCAAAACTATGTTCTACTGTACTATTGTTAGGCCGGACACACATATTCAAGCAAATATTTGTCAAATGCTTGCAGCGCAGCAAGCTGTTTATACAAATTTGCTCGAACGTGTAGTGTGGTCTTAGATTTTTGCTGCTCTTAGATTTTTACACACATGTCGCAGATTTATCATATATAAATTTTATTAGTAATCCGAAACGATCGATCAGAAGAAGATAGCGAGCGCGATGAGAACTCACCGGTATGTTCCTGCAGCCTCGAAATAGCAGCGGGCGGCCGTCGACTCTTGGCGAGATTTTTGCGTTCCGTGTGTGTACTTTCCTTTTTCTTCCTTCGATTTCTTTGTAGCGGATACACTTTGAACAGGCCGCGAGTGTCGCCGAGAAAAGATCGTGATGGAACGAAAGAAACAAGAGTGATTGGACACGCAAAAGCTGAACCTTGGGCTACTCACGAATCTGCTTAGCGATATCAGACCGGTATTACTATTAGTAATATAAATAAATAATTAAAGAAAAATAAATAAATAAATAAATAAATAAATAGATCGTCCGGATAGATATGTGGAGTATCCGCGAGTAGCTTGCGCGAACACCCTTATTTCCTTCGACTTCCGAATGAATCGGCACGCTCCGACCGACTGCATCAGTGCACCAGTGCACTGTGCTATGTCGACCCTCGATTACGACTTCTTCTCGAGTGGCGAGAAAAGCTCGCGTGAGAAAGCGAGAAAGCATGATGAGCTTCCCTTCCTTCCTTCCTTCCTTCCTTCCTCTTTCCCTCCCTCCCTTCCTTTCTTCTTTCCTATTTTAACATTTTCAACTCCAACTCGATCCCAGATTTACCGATCACACTTTTATGCTTTCGAAAGAAGGGTGCGATCTTGATCTTTTTTTTTTTACACATCGTTACATTTGAATGGACTAATATTTATTGAAATTTTCAAATAGGCTTATTAATATACCGTTTTATCTTGACATTAAAAGTGATAGATTTATTAAACAACTATATTAAAATATTTAATTTAGCTAATCACGATACCGTTCGTGATTATCACTATTGCGAACTATGAAAACATAATTGATCTATTGTTTTTCCGCTAAGGAATATTGAATATTGAATAAAATATACTTTACTTAATTTTGTTCGATTAAATATATAAAAATAGTTTTTTTTTATTAACAGTTTCGATACTTCTTGAAAATATTTTTTGTTGATTAATGTGCATGCGCGATAATTTATCATTGAATAATGCGGCATTTAACACGTTTTTCACGCTGAATTAATTTTAAATAATAATTGACTACCACGTGTGATCTACAATATTTGCGTTTGTTAAATAGTATTTGTTAAGTAATATGTATTTAATAATAGTTACAAAAATTATTATTATTATGATTAAAGAAGACTTAATGTATGTGCAATATCTTTGATATTTGTCAAATATCACATAATATTGTATATCCACGAATTATTATACCCACGAATTATTTATTTTTAATTACATAGATTCTTTTTATAGTCAAAATATCAAACGGTCTGAACGGAAAATCTTCAGTATGAGGCTCTGCACATATAATGAAGAAAATATTAGGAATAAGAATAAGTAGTAAGATTTTTCAGGTCATATTAAAAGGATCTTAGGTTCAAACTCTGACTGAGGTAATATTTTTCGCGATAAATTTTTTATGCGTTTCTAATTTAATTTAGGGGAATTATTAGCGTTTCAGATTGATTGTGTTAAAGTCCGAAAGTTATCGGCGCGCAATTATATCTGAAATGAATTGATTTAATAAAGAATATATATATTATTCAATCCCGGTAAAAATTTTTCTCATTATTTTTATACGAATTGAAACATTTTTCAGAAATACTCGGAAATATTCGGAAACTTTACTTCTATTTATTTACTATCTTCTCTCAGAATTTTTCATACAAGTGAATTCTGAAATATTCTGAAATTTCTCATCCCATAATTCAAAAAAAATATTTTAAAATTTTTTAGATTTTAGAACATTTCAAAATTATATTTACAAAAAATCTTAAAAATCTTACGATATTAGTTAACAATTTATTATTAACATATATAAAAAATTCTGAGAAATGTTCCATGTAGATTTTCTGAGAAATGTTCCAATTCGTAAAAAATGTAAAGAAAGTTATAAAATTATATAGAAATTCTGAAAAAAATTTTCACCGAGGAAAACATCTAACTTTGATCAATTAATGGCATTCTCTATCGTATTGATATATTCATACAGTCATTCTTAATCTTAAGATTTCAATCTATCAGTAATCGTAGGTTTTGTTCGCATCATATGTTCCAACATTATCCATAGCTCCTCGCATTGAAGTAGGATCTATATTGGAACTTGTTGGAGCATACAACGTGAACATATTTCGTCTATTTCTTTGTAATTAGTTTCTAATAGATTGAAATATCTTAATACTTTTATTCTTGTCTCTAATATTTCTTCCATTGTTTTAAGTCACCGTTGTCATCGGTGAATCCACGTGACACAGAACATTTTGAAGGATCTCTAGAGGCATTCAATTAAAAATACAAAATAATGCGCATCAATTATATATCTACATATACATATAATGTAAAAAATATGTATCTATTATATGTAATGTATATATTCATCATGTATATATCTATGGTTACACATGTTACATGAGAAGGATATACATGTCTTGTTAAAAAAAGAATCAATATTTATGCATATTAACAAAATTTTCCTTGTTTTTAAAGGTTGGTCCCCAAATGCCATGTTTATCATCCTTGCTTGACGATTGTTGCTGACGATTTTGCTGCTGTTGTTGGCTTGACGACATATTTCTGTGTTTTTCCTTGTCTTTGCTTGAACATTCACAATTGAGCATTATTATTCAGTGTTCTCTAGCTTGATGTGCTTCATAATATATATTTTCTAATATTCTATGTATAATGAATATGTATTGTAAAAAACATATATTTATTTATTTTTGCAAAATTTATGATTTCCTTGCTTTTTATTAATATAAGTATAATGAATATCATACGTACTTAATTTCTGGATAAGGTCCCTTAATCGTGGTACTGCTTATGTTGGCATATACCATTTTTCTATCCTTTGTAAATTTTGATGTAACACGAAAACAATTTTACTCTCTTCTTCCAGTTTTCGGTTAGTCGAAGCAATCGCACTAACAATCAGCAATGATTCAGAGATAATTTGACTTTACTGGATAGCACCTGGAAATTTAATTATAAAAAATAATCTTTTATTACTGCTGATTGTAAAAGAAAGAAAAAAAGAAAAATAAAGAAAGAAAATGACAGAATTTTAGTTGTATTCTCTAGTATATTTATTGCTTAAGTGGAATACAAAAATCATAAGAACATTATCAGATTATTTATTATTTATAAATTCATTTTTAAGTATCAAATGACGTTCTATGATATTATGGCTATGTTCTAGTAATAATCTATAATTTACAAATGTAGTATTATGAACTTTCAGCACTAACAATGAATTTTGGAACATAGCCTATATCATTATAACTTTGTAACTCTATGTTCTACCTGAGTGTTAGGGGAGTGTATGTATTTTCTCAAAAAGATGTTTATAAATACATACTCTATGGTACGTGATGTAAATGAACCAGGACTAATAATTCAAGTCGATTTCCAGCGTTGCCTTGTCGACTTCCTTTACGTGTTCCAAGATTTTTGGTTAACCTGCGAAAAATGTCAATAATATGGAAGGTATAAAAATTATGGAATAGAAATGATAGTTTTTAAAGTTATAATTTACAGTCTACAATTTACAGTCTGCTTTTGTATTAATAAGTCGTCCAATTACTGCCGTTATTAATTATTGTCTTTGAGGCGTACTTTTCATCAATTTTACAGCATATAGTCCTAATAAAGATTAAATAAATTTTTATTTGGGAATCAAAAACTTATATTTTTGATTTTCAAATAAAAGTTTATTCAGTTCTTCATATTATAAAAAGTTTTGAGCAGATTTAGAAAAGTTCTTTTCGCATTATATAAGAGTCCTTATATAGTTATTGTTCATCTTCTTTTTACTAAAAAATGATACATTTAATGACGAGTATACACTCTAAATTTCTTATAGTAAAATCTCACTCCAAGAAAGTAAAAATACAATCACTTGAAAAAAAAGTGAAAATATTTCATTTAGGGGGGATTATTTCACATATAGGAACGTTTCGGCGCACAGTTACATCTAAGATAATTAAATTTAAATTGAGAATATATATTGTATTCATAACATCTAATTTTGACCGATTATTGACGTTATCATATTTATATTATTATATTATTTATCTTATTACATATATATATATTATTTACACAATTGTAAAATATTCTTAAAAATATTTTACTTCTTGAAAAAGAGTGACAATTTTCATTCTTTTTAGAGTGAATTTTCACTTCAAAGAAGTGAAGATCATCACTTTTTTTTCAAGAAGTGAAATATTTTCATTTCTTTTTCAAGAATGATTGCATTTTTATTATTCTCTTGGAATGAGATTTCATTGCAAGAAATTTAAAGTGTACATTATACCGTTCACATTAAAGGATTCGAAGCAGTTCGTCTTTGCCTCTCAGTAAACAATTTTTCATGCATGAGTATAAATATGTATAACATACATAAATATGTATTTCTATAGATATTCATAAACATACATAATTGTATATAAAATATGTCCATACACATTTATATGTCCTTCTTTCTTCTATAAAATTACGTTTTAATATAATAAAAATAATAATAATGTGAAAACATTAAAAATAATTAAAAGAATAATTTTTGCACTATTTTTTTTAGAAAAAAATAATTTGGAGAAATTGTAAAAAATAATTTGTAAAAAATTTACTTATATATAATAATGTATAAAATTGTGCATAATTATGTACAAACAATTATGAAAAATTTTTTTACACTTTTTTCAAACTTGTTTTTTTCTAAAATGCGAACAATGCGAAAATTATTCTTTTAATTATTTTTAATGTTTTCACATTATTATTACACTAAAAAGTAACTTTACAAAAGAAAGAGATGTATAAACATGTATGAATATATTTCATATATGTATATGTTCATGAATATTTATATTTATTTATGTATGTTTATACATAATTTTATTTGACAATTTTGTTTGATTTTACCATTTCATTTTTACCATTTCATCAGAGTGTATTCGAAAAAATTACAATTGTCATAAAAAACAGCTGAAAAAATCTACAAGATTACATGATAGACAAACTGTCAGCCGATGATTGTGTTATTTATAGAAAACAATTAAAATTGTGTCACATCCGTGTACAATTACATACATTGCCAAAGTCTAAAGTCCCGCTTAAATAAATCAAAATTATCTAGACAAAAATAACATAAATTACACATAAACGTATCTTATCTTAAATAAGATAAAGATGATTTTATATATCTATACAGATAAAAGATGAAATATAATATCGTTTTTTATCTAGACTTGAAAGATATATTGAAAGATGTCGGTCACGCTTTTATTTAGAATACAAATACTTGTACTTATAAACTATTGATCACATGTACGAAATAAATTGGTCGATATTTGATTGTTCTGCGTTTCCTATTGGATACAATGCATTTATATATACATATATATATGCTTATTAGTATGTTTTACCGGAAAATCCGATGGGATCGCAAAATATTTTACAGATCAATAAGATGATTAACGTGTTATCGACACATTATTTATACATGTTACTATCAATATCATATCATATCAATATCACATATGTTTAAATATTTTCGTAAAAAGTTTCCATATTCAATTAAGCGTCTCAAGTCCTATTCTAAAAATTCCAATTTTATATTTTTTTATGTAATCTATTATGTTTG